GAAGGAAGGAAGGAAGGAAGGAAGGAAGGAAGGAAGGAAGGAAGGAAAGGGAAGGAAGGAAAGAAGGAAGGAGAGATGGATGAATAAATGAATGAAAGAAAGGGAGGAAGGGAGGAAGGAAGGATGAATGGAAGGAGGGATGAATGGAAAGAAGGAAGGAGATAGATGAATGGCAGGAAGGAAGGAACAATGGATGGATGAATGAATAGATGAATGAATGGAACAGAAGGGAGGGAGGGAGGGAGGAAGGAGAGATGGAGAGATGGATGGATGGATGGATGGATGGATGGAAGGAAGGAAAGAAGAAAGGATGGATGGATGAAAAGGGAGGGAGGGAGGGAGGAAGAGAGATGGATGGATGAATGGAAGGATGGGTGAATGGAAAGAAGGAAGGAGTTATTCATTCATATCTTTGCTCTTTTTCTTAATAATGATTTATAGCACTTCTCAAAGCTGGGTGAATTACTCCAGATTGGTCAAAATTGGTCTTTCTGTGAGTAACAACAATCTCAACAGACACATTTAAATTGACTTAAGGGGTTTTGCCTACATTACATAAATATAGCGTAACACAGTCCCTGACTTACAGTCCTTCATTTCACGACCAAAGTTTCAACAGTCTTACGACCGTTGCAAGATCCCCACAGTTACACGATCAAACTCCAGAAACTTGGCGCCAGACCTCTATTTACAATAAGGTTGCCGCCGCCCGGCGTCGTGCGATCCCCATTTTGCAACCTTCCCAGCCAGCTTCCAGCAAACAAGGAGAAGTCAATGGGGTAGCTGGGGTTCACTTAACGACTGCACGCTTCCCTTAATGACTCCAGCAATTTGCTTACCCACCATGGCCAAAAATAAAAAGTCCAACTGGGTACAGCGCAACCGCCTCCTCGCTTAACAGCACACACCCCGGTCTCAGTCGTGGTCATAAGGACGAGGACCAACTGCCTTCTGCCCTGTTGATGGCTGGGTTTTTGCGTCTAAAAATCGGTGACAAAATGGCTACCAGCCTTTGCCTGAAAAGAGGTGATCTCTGAGAAGTTGCCACCCCGGGGGTTTTTATTTCCCACGGTTCTCGTGAAAGAGGCTCAACGCACAATCCGATCTAAATCTCCTCGCCACAACACGCCCTCTTGACCTGAGTGCGAAATTTAATTTTAATTTTTCTGCCCGAGTCAGCAGGATGTGGGAACGATGGACTGGATGGCCCAGAAAGAAGAAGAGAAGAGAGGAAGAAACAAAACAAAAAACGAAAAAAGTCATTATTTTTCCTTTCTTATATGGTTCTCATCCATCTCTCTCTCTCTCGCCACACCCCAAACCTGTTTTTTTATCAAAACGAGATAATTTTTTGGCTTCTGACAAACCAGCTGCATTCCCACAACATATTAAACCCGGGTTATCGAAACCGAGTGCTTTGTATTTCCAAAATGGATGACCCCCCCACACCCAAACAGATCCCATCCTATTTTAGGGAATGGGTTTAAGTTTCGCTTTATCAGTTGTCCTTGACTTACGACTGTTTGTTTAGTGACCATTTGAAGTTACAACGGCACGGATTCCCTTAACGACCATGTTATTAACTTCCCCACGGCAGTGTGATTCACTTCACAGCTGTAGCAAGCAGCAAGGTCGTAAAACGGGCACACAAACATCTCGCTTAGGAACTAAAATTTGGCCCTCGATTGTCATCGTAAGTCAGCCCCAAACATATCGGTCCTATTTCAAGGACTGATTTGTAAGTTTCACTTTTTCAATCGTCCTTGACTTATGGCTGTTAGTTTAGCAGCTGTTCGAAGTTACAACAGCACCCAAAAAAGGGGGGCTTAGGAGCTTTTTTCACCCTTACGACCGTCACAGCCACCCCTGTGGACATGTGATCAAAATTCATGCACTTGGCAAGTGATTCATATTTACGACGGTCACCGTGTCCCCGGAGATGCGCTTTTGCAACCACCTGACAAGCAGAACCAGCGGGGATGCTGGGTTCGCTTAACAACCATGCGGCTCACTCCACGACAGCAGTGATTCACCTCATAGCCGTGGCAAGCAAGGTCGTAAAACGAGCAAAAGGTCCCTCCGCTGGGGAACAGAAATTTAGGGCTCGGTTGTCGTCGTAAGTCGAGGACGACCCGTTAAGTGGGTTTATTTCTGCATTTGAAGGTATTTCTGACGAGATCGGAGTTCAGTTTGAGGTCAAGGATTTAAGAGGGGGGAAATGGGAATTTCCCCATCCCTGCCTTTTGTAAATAAGATATCTCTGACTTTGGAACCTTCTGGAAGGAAACGTGGCTGTTCCATATGCAAAAATTTAGGAGTGGTATCATGCTTTCCCCACCCCTGTTTCCTTCCTGAACTGCAGGGAAGGCTGAGGAGAAGCAGAAAAGCCAGGGTGGGGAAAGGAATAAATTTCTCCCTGCTATTTCTCGAAAGAGACCAAAGTAAATAAATCTTTAGCTTGGCACACAGAAGGGAACATTAAAAACCAAAAAGGAAAACTGGGACTCACACAAACACACGCTCTAAATAGGTATTGTTCTCCAAGCAGAGAGGAAAAAGAAAGATAAAATCCTTTGATCCAGTTTTTATTTTGATCAAACCTCAGGAAATGACTTCAGTACACTTGACCATCCATCTCTGAAATGTTCTTTTTTTTTTCACCCAAAGAGAGGAAATACTTTTCCTCTTTTCACCACAGCCGAGCCCAAAATTTACATCATTAAGTGAGTTTTGCCCCGTTTTACAACCTCTCTTGACGCAGTTGCTAAGGGAATCCCAGCAGTTGTTAAGTGAGTCACTCCATCGTTAAGTGAGTCTGGCTTCCGCCTCGACGTTGCTTGTCAGAAGGTTCGCAAAAGGGGATCACCTGAACAGGGGACATGGCGACCGTCATAAATATGAGTCAGTTGCCAAGCGCCTGAATTTTGATCACATGACCAAGGGGATGCTGTAACGGTCGTATGTGTGAAAAACGGCTGCAGGTCACTCTTTTTCAGTGCCATCATAACTTTGAACGATCACTAAACGAACCCTCGTAAATCGAGAACTATTCGTATTTTTAAAAGTATTTTGTTGTTATCCTTTTTATGAGGCTAATTTTTTTCAAAGAGATCCCAGAGCGGCACACACAAGAGACAAAAGTAAAAACTAAATACATTTTTATTTGTTTCAAGATTATTTTTATTTAGAAAATCAGCAGAGGCCCGTTTTTATTTTTATTTCCCCAACTAAAGGATGTTTTAAAAGGGAGATGCGATTGCCCAGGTGTGTTTCGTGGCCGAGTTGGTTCCTTCCTCCCTTTAAAATATATATATTTTAAGAGGAGAACAGAAACGGCTGGAATTTTTTCCACATTTACTTGAATTTTCCTGGTTTTTCTCCTCCTCAGAGGATTCGGTCCACATGCCACAAAGTGACTGCCTAAAGGAGTATGTGCTGAACGAAACAGGGAGGATTTATTATGGGACGGAAAGTCAGATCGGGGAGCGAACATGGAACTACGCGCAGGTAAGAGATGGGAAGGTTAGGAAAAGGGAAAAGAGGAAAGGGAAGGAAGGAAAAATAGGAAAGAGGAAAGGAAAAGAGGAAAGAAAAATAGAAAGGAGGAAAGGAAAAGAAAGGAGAAAAAGGAAAGGAAAGGAAAGCAGAAAGGAGAAAGGAAAGGAAAGGAAAGGAAAGGAAAGGAAAGGAAAGGAAAACTGAAAATGATGCAAACATGGCTACATTTCTCATTAGGGCAGGGAAATCTCCCAAATGTGGTCAAAAAAGTCAAAATGGCCGCCCCAACGGTGCAGTCATGATCCAGAGGTTTATTCTTTTGTCCCAAAACCAACCAGAGGACCTGGGAAGACATGGTCCCCTGCTCCAATGACCTTTCTTCTTGTCTCCCCTCAGTTTGACCAAGGAATCCTGGATGCTTGTTTGTTCATGCTGGATAAGCGGGGGATGCCTCATGCGAGCCGGGCAGATCCGATCATGGTTTCCCGTGTCGTCTCAGCCATGGTGAGTGGTGAATGGCTTCCTCTCCCTTCCCAGGCTCTGGCAATGGATCCAGAACCTTGTTTAAAAAGGGGAAATGTCAATTATTATCTCATTCGTCTTCCCGTATGCTTCTCCTTGTTTTTGTGCATAACTTCCTCTGTTGCTTCAATCAATTCTCCTTATCCTTTCCTTTCTATAATATCCCATTTTATACTCTGTATTCTACATTTTCCTTTCTTTTCTCTCTTTTTTTCTCTCTTCTTTCTTTCTCTCTTTTTTTATTCTTTCTCTTTTTTCTTTCTTACTCTTTCTTTTCTTTCTTTCTTTTTCTCTTTTCTCTTTCTCTTTCTTTTTCTCTTTTTCTTTCTCTTTTTCTCCTTCTTACTTTCTTTATCTCTTTCTCTCCCTTTCTTTCTCTTTCTCTTTTATTTTCTCTTTCTTTTTTGTCTTTCGCTTTTTTCTTTCTCTCCTTTTCTTTCGTTTTCTTTCTCCTTTTCTTTCGCTCTCTTTCTTTCTCTTTTTTCTTTCTCTCTTTTTCTTTTTCTTTCTCTCTTCTTTTCTGCCCCTCTCTCTTTTTCTCTCTCTCTCTTTCTCTTTCTTCTCCTTGGGCATTAAACTAAATAAATAAATCCAAGCGTAGCAATAACTTACCAACTGAGTGCAGGTAGTCCTCAACTTATGACCACAATGGCAGCCATATGATCCCTGTCAGGGTTCCGAGGGATGCCCTAATTAATTCATGAGCCTCGAGCCAAGTTTCAAAAGAAATCCAATTATTTATTAGGAGCAACATGTCAGCACTTTCTTAAGTGCGGCTGGCTCTGCCCCAAATAATTTACTGCCCACCTATGACCCTGTTTCCCCCCTCCTCCCAGGATGTGTCATTAATCAGATTCTCCAAACGATAGAAAACACGCCTCTCTGGCTGGCTCTGGTAACCTGAGATACAATCTGTAGAAAGGTATGCGTGGAATGTGCTTCTGGTCATAGCAATTGAGCTGCTCCATCAATTCCCCCCCACCCACTTATGGCAACCTGAGAGCAGACCAGAAATGCTTTACAAGTTGACAATCCCCTTTTGCGACGGTCTGACAAGCCAAGTCAGCCAGATTGGCCTAACAACGGTGTAACTAGCCAGTGCAGCGATTCACTTAACAACCGTCTCCCATAGCAAGATAACTTTTGGGCGAGATTGTGGTCGTAAGTCGAAGATTATCTTGACCCAAACAAGAAAAGATCACCCTTCCTCAACTCTGCTTCGGTTTTTACCCACCCGTTCTGTTTGCAGAGATTTGCTAATAAGGTCTCTTCTTCACCCACGTCTCTGTTGGAATGAGCGGCAGCCTTGAAACCTGATGAATTAACAAATCTATGAATTAATTGACGGGGATCTGGTATGGCTGGTTGGATCAGCCGGCTTCTGTTCTAGGAAGTCACACAGGTCAAGCCAAGGCCTGTTTGTGTTTTCTGCCTGCTGTGCCACCCCTTAATTGGGGCGCATCTCTTGCAATATTGGGGAACAAGATAATTGCTTCGTTTCTCAACGATTAATCAGAGCCGTTTGATTATCGTTAAGGCCAGATCGCTGTGGCCTGAATTCACAATATTCTACAAAGGGCCACAATGCAATCAGAACAGAGCTGGAAGGGACCTTTGAGATCTTCTAGTCCAACCCACTGCCCAAGCAGGAGACCCTATACCAAGGGTCTCCAAGCTTGACAACTTTAAGACTTGTGGACTTCAACTCCCAGAATTCCTTTGCTGGCTTTGCTGGCTGAGGAATTCTGGGAGTTGAAGTCCACCAATCTTAAAGTTGCTAACGTTGGAGACCTCTGCGCTCCTATACCATTTCAGACAAATGGCTGTCCAGACTCTTCTTAAAAACCTCTAGTGATGAAGCACCCACAACTTCTGGTGGCAAGCTGTTCCACGGGTTCATTATCTTCACTGTTAGGGAGTTTCTCCTTAATTCCAGGTTGCTGCTCTCTCCTTGATTAGTTTCCATCCATTGTTTCTTGTCCTGCCTTCAGGGGCTTTGGAAAACAAACGCCCTCTGGGGCATCCCCTCAAATACTGGAATACTGCTATCGTGTCTCCCCCAGTTCTTCTTTTTCTACCCAAATCTTGCAACTGTTCTTCGTATGTTTTAGTCTCCAGGCCTCTAATCATCTTAGTTGCTCTTCTCAGCACTTTTTCCAAAGTCTCAACATCTTTTTCGTGTAATGTGGTGAGCAAAACTGGATGCATTATTCCAGGTGTGGCCTTACTAAGGCTTTATCAAGCGGAAGTGATTTTGATTCTATGCCTCTGTTTATACAACTCAGAATTGTATGAGCTTTGCTATCAATGCTGGGTGCCTCTAATTTATATACTTGTATTTAATTTCCTCTCAGCTTTTCTGCTTTTCCTGTTCCTTGGCTCGCCCAGGAATTGGGTTAGCTCTCAAGATAATTCTTGTCACTGCAGTGTGCAAAAAGTTTATGCCCTAAAAAACTTGAAGGGGTCACAACGATCTTGAGAAACCACAAAGAAATGACCTTAGAGAAGTTACTGGCATTTAACACAGCAAGAGTTACCGGCGTTAAAAAAAACAGAAATTCAGCCCAGGAAACAGAGAAAACCTTGAAAAGAATATCAGATATTTTACACAAAGCAACGATTTTTTAACGTTACAGGTTATCCTCTCCAGAATGGAGATCACAAATTCGGTCGTTCACTGAGCCGCCCCGATTTCAGGTCCCTTTTTCCATGGTTGTTAAGTGAATCACTGCAGTGGTTAAATGAATCAGTCGGTCATTAAGCAAATCCAGCTGCCCCGCCCCCCCCCAGACTTTGCTTGTCAGAAATTGCTTGGGAAAGTCACAACTGGGGATCACATGACCGCAGGATTCTGCAACCGTTGTAAATACGTGCCAATTGTCAAATGTGCATATTGTGATCACATGATTATAGGAATCTTTCAAGGATAATAATTACGAGGATTAGCCATAACTTAACTCATTTTTTTCAGTGCATTGTGACTTTGAACAGTCCCTAAGAGAAAGACGGTTGTAAGTTGAGGCATCCCAGTAATGTTTTAATGCCTGACCTATAAGTGATATACAGCCTTTAAACCTTTAATAACCTTCCTTTCTTTCCCTTTTTGTTCTGCTTATTTTGTTTTTTTAAAAAAAACGGGTTCCTTCCTGCATTTTTTCCCCCCATTGTTTGTCCAGCTTTTGAAATTTCTGTTTAAACATTTTTCTATCTTCCTCAGCAAATAAAATAAGTTGAACTGAAAAAAAAAATAGGAAGGGAAAGGAAAAAGGCTTTCATCAAGCTTTCAGAGCTGATGCCACCCTTTCGAGGTAGGCTTGATGGGTTATCCGACTCCATAAATATAATAGGAACCTGGCTTTGTAGAGATGGGTTAAATTAAAGGCTTTTCTCAACCTGGCCTACTTGAAGACATGTGGACTTCAACTCCCAGAAGTCTTTGCTTTGCTGGCTGTGGAATTCTGGGAATTGAAGTCCACACGTCTTCAAGTAAGCCAGGTTGAGAAACACCTATCTGTCTGTCTGTCTGTCTATCTATCTATCTATCTATCTATCTATCTATCTATCTATCTATCTATCCATCCATCCATCTAATCATCTAGCCATCCATCCATCCATCCATCCATCCATCCATCCATCCATCCATCCATCCATCCTATCTCTCTCTCTATATATATATATCTATCCATCCATCCATCCATTATCTATCTATCTATCTATCTATCTATCTATCTATCTATCTATCTATCTATCTATCCATCCATCCAATCATCTAGCCATCCATCCATCCATCCATCCATCCTATCTCTATCTCCATCCATCCATCCATCCATCCATCCATCCATCCATCCGTTATCTGTCTATCTATCTATCTATCTATCTATCTATCTATCTATCTATCTATCTATCTATCTATCCATCCATCTAATCATCTAGCCATCCAACCATCCATCCATCCATCCATCCATCCATCCGTCCATCCTATCTCTCTCTCTCTCTATCTCCATCCATCCATCCATCCATCCATCCATTATCTATCTATCTATCTATCCATCCATCCATCCATCCATCCATTATTATCTGTCTGTCTGTCTGTCTATCTATCTATCTATCTATCTATCTATCTATCTATCATCTATCTATCATCTATCTATCTATCTATCTATCTATCTATCTATCTATCTATCTTCCTCGACTTGTGACCACAATTGAGCCCAAATTTTCTAATTGCTAAGTGAGACATTTGTTAAGTCAGTTTTGCCCCATGTTGTGACTTTTCCTGCCACCTTTGTTCGAATCTTTGCAGTTCTTAAATTAGTCAGCTGGTTGTTAAGCGAATCCGGCTTCCCCATTTAGTTTGGTCATCAGAAGGTTGCAAAAGAGGATCCTGTGAGCCCGGAGGTACTTCAAACAGTCATCAACACAAGTCAGTTGCCAAACATCTGCATGTAAATCACGTGACCGTGGGGATGGTGCCATGGTCGTAAGTCGGAAATATGGTCCTAAGTCACTTTTTTCAGGGCCATTGTAACTTTGAACAGTCGCTAAGCACACTGTCGTAAGTCAAGGACCACCTTTACAACTGTATATAAGTAAGAATCGTGGTCCCCAACATCGTAGATGCATTTAGCATCAGCCAGATGCTTAAAAACACATCCGCCAGATGTTGAAAAGGTAACCAGACACCGGGTACATAATACATGTGGTGGACATGCACGAAGCAAATAAATATTTGACAAAAATGCATATATGGTTAGAAAAACATGTTAAAAGCGGCACACAGATTATAAGCCAGAAATATTTTTGTTAGGTACCAGTATTATACCTGAAAAGGGAATTTATATTTAATATGACATGTTTTGACAGTGGCAAGAATTGTATTTGAACAGTACTGGAAAAAAATGAGGAAACACCTTCAGAAAAAGATGTAATTTTTTAAAAATAAATTAGATTGTGCTGAAATAGACAGGTGGACGCTAAAATTAAGAGAAAAAGAAGATACAGAATGTTTTCAAACATGGGACTTCTTTTACAAATGGTTGGATAATAGAAATAGAAGTTAGGACCGGGAAATGTATTATTATGTAAACAAATGGATCCAGACAATGCCCTGTTCACTAAACCCCTAATATACTCTGTTTCCCTGAAAATAGGACCTACCCTGAAAGTAAGTCCTAGCTTGATTTTTACACAGGCACCCAATGTAAGCCCTACCTCCCAAAATAAGCCCTAATTAAGACTCCACCCACTCCAGAGTGGACAGGTAAAAATTAAGCTAGGTTGGGGATGGGGGTGGTGGAATTGCCCTACTACTTACCTTTGGGCAGTTGTAGCCAGGCCTCGCACACCCCAACACCTGCCTTGCCGGCCCATTTCTTCTGCAGTCGGCAAGGCTTTCCTGAAGGCTTCTGGATCGATCCGGAGTTATCGGCTGTTACCGGCTGCGAGGCCTTCAGGAAAGCCTTGCCGGCCACAGAAGAAGCTCCTGAAGGCCTCTGACGGCGAAAAGGAGGCCAGGGGTGACACACACAAGTGAGGTTAGTCAGTGGATGACATCCCCCCAAAATAAGACCTTTTTTGGTGGGAAAAAATATATAAGACAGGGTCTTATTTTCGGGGAAACATGGGTATGTAAAATGAAAATATATAAATGAGCTGTTAAAAAAGCAAACACCATAGATGCTCTTGGCCTTATTTTGATCCATGACAACGTTGCATTTCTGCACAGGTGAACTCTCTAGACGACAACGGTGTTCTGGTGGGAAACTGGACCGGGGACTACTCCCGTGGCACCAACCCTTCAGCCTGGGTGGGCAGCCGAGACATCCTTCTGAAGTACCACCGTACCGGTTACCCCGTCCTCTACGGGCAGTGCTGGGTGTTTGCAGGCGTCGTGACTTCAGGTAATTGGTGTTTCCTGTTGAGGCGGGGAGGTTTGCGGGTCACAAGGAAAGAAGCGGGAACGTCAGATTTAACAGATTTTTAACAGAGGGACCTTGTAGGTCATCTAGTCCAACCCCCCCACCCAAGCAAGAGACTATAGATGGTGTGACGTTGTGGGTGTCTTCCTCCCTGGAGGTTTTGAAGGAGAGATTGGACAATTGTTTCTCTGACACGATGTAGGATCTCCTGCTTGACCAGGGGGCTCGACTAGAGGACCTCCAAGGCCCCTTTCAACTCTGTTATTCTGTTACAACTACTACTACCACTTTTTAAGAGGAGATTGGATAACCATTTGTGTGAAATGGTCTAGGGTCCCTCCTTAAATGGGGGGCTGGACTAGAAGAACCAATAGGAAACATTTTTGAAACCCACCTCTGCCCGGAACTCTACAGCTGTCACAAATATGAGTCAAAACTGCCAAGCATCTGAATTTTGATCAAGTGACCCAAGGGATGTAGTGACGGCCGTAAGGGTGAAAAAACGGCCCTAAGCTATTCTTTTCAGGGCTGCCGTAACTTCGAGCGGTGACTAAACGAAAGGCCGTAAGTTGAGGACTATGTATAATTCCCGATGGCAGGCAGAAAACAGGCAAGCTGAGTTGCTCTGGCCTGTTTTTTTGCCTGCCAGCTGAAAACAAAATGTTTTCATGACCTGTTGTGAAGGTGTGATTTCACTACATCACAACTCAGGAATTTAAAGGAGTCTGGGCGGTGACGTCTTTAAGGGGGTGGGGCTTACAGGGCATACATTACGCTGGGCAGTGCTGATCATTTGTGCATCTGATTATAAATTCCTGAAAGTTATTCTTAGCTCGGGTATCGGCAACCCGTGGCTCTAGAGCCACCTGCGGCTCTTTGGGCCCTCTGCTGTGGCTCCCTGTTAGGTGGTCCCACCACTGGCTGGCCTCGCTTGGCCTGAGAAGGTAAAACACACACACACACACACACGCACACACACACACACACAGAAATAGGAGGGAGGGAGGGGGAGGAGAGAGAGAGAGAGAGGCCCATTTCCCACAGAAAACACTGGGAGCCACAAAACCTGGGTAGGCGTGGCTAGGATGTGGGTCATGTGACTGGGTGGGAGTGGCGTTGAGTTGGCCACGCCCACCCAGGTTTTGAGGCTCCCGGTGTTTTCTGCGGGAAAACGGGTCCAAATGGTTCTTTTGAGTGTTTTTAAGGTTGCAGATCCCTGCCTTAGTTCATCAAATGGTGCCAGAATAAATTAACTGTGGCTAATCCTCCACCTCCAAGGCCAACATTTCTATTGCTGAGGGAAACATCTGTGAAGTCAGCTTTCCCGCCCCACTTTACGACTTTTCTTGCCGCGGTTGTTAAGTGAACCGCTGCCGTCGTTCAACTAGTCACACGGTTATTAAGTGAATCTGGCCTATTGAACTTGCTTGTCGGAAGGTCACCAAAGGGGATTCCCATGACCCCTGGCACACTGCGGCCATCATAAATATGAGTCATGTGACCGCGGGGTTTCTCACAACGGCGGATGCTAAGCGTGAAAAACAGCCCTACATCACTTTTGGGGGTGACGTCATCACTTTGGATGGTCACTAAATGAACTGTTGTAAGTCGAACACAGCCTGTTTGTGAGGTTCACACGTGCTATATCGCTGATTCCATTTGAGCGCACTGTGTGTTGTGCGACCTCAAACCTGGATACGGTAGTTCTTGACATATCAAACCCGGATACGGTCATCCTTGACCAAAATTGGCCCCCGAAATTTCTATCTATCTGAAGCAAAGCAGTTGTGAAACGTGTCCCTACCAATTTTACGACTTCCCTTCCCGCACACACGGTTGTGAAGCCAATCACCGCGGTTATTAAGCGAATTGTGCGGTCGTTAAGTGAATCGGGCTTTGACTTTCCTTGTCGGAAGATTATTGGGGTGGTCACGAAGTGGGGACCACATTGCAACCCTTGTAAATACACGCCGGTTGCCAAGCGACTTAGTTTAAATCGTGTGAACTTCTGGACGGTTGTAATGGTGAGGACTGGTTGCAAGTCACGTTCTTCCGTGCTGTCGTAACTTCGGGCGTTCGCTAAAGGAACGGTTGTAAGTTGAGGACTACCCCACATTACTGGCCAAAGACTTGGGGTTCGCATGAGCCTGGCTGCTCGATCGCTTTCGAAAAATCCCGCCGACTTTTTGGGATGCTGTCCGAGTAGAACCACTAGGCCTCCCTGCTGATACCCCTTCCCGTCTGTCCCTCTTCCTCCCTAGTCCTGCGGTGCCTGGGCATTGCCACCCGGACTGTCACCAATTACAACTCAGCCCATGACACGGACGTCAGCCTCACCATGGACATCTACTTTGATGAGAATATGAAGCCCCTGGAGCACCTCAACGCCGACTCTGTGTGGTGAGGACACGGGACCTCCTCCTCCTCTTCCTCCTCCTCCTTCTCCTCCTCTTCTTCCTCCTCCTCTTCTTCTTCCTCTTCCTCCTCCT